GTTTATAATAATAAATTGTACAATACATATTGTTTTAAAAAAAATTAACTTTACATATAACTAAAAATTTCCCTGGATGCTATATGATTTTTTCTGGGTACACAAAGAATTACTAATTATGATTGGTTAAATCACATGTTGTTTATATGTAAATCATATGATACAATAAGATATTGATTACACAATGTTGATCTACAATCTATTTTATATGAATTTGAAAATAGTTATATTCTACCCTTAAAACAAATAGAAGAACAACAAATACCCCTTGTACCGATGATATTACAAAACCTTTTGTACATATTCAAAAGAATTGAAGACTATCCCGTACTAGAATATGTAAACCGAATTAAAACCGCACATCAATACAGAATAATAAATCCGAAGAAAACGTTTGCCAAATTATTTGAAGAAATAGACTCTGAATCCGAAGAAGAGGAGCTAACACCATTGACAATTGAAGAATTTGAAGAAATTATGACGAATAAAGAAACAATAACCGCAAAACAAATCAAAAGAGGACGACTATTCAAAACCTCAGTTCAAAAACAAATAGCACCGTTAAAACGAATAGAAAAAACAACTCATGAATTTTGATCATCTCTATATGGGATATAAATACTTGACTATCTTTGAAAAGAAAGATAGAACCAAAGTCGCAACAATACTGGAAAAATACCCAAAAGTAATCGATCTTTCAAAATTACCCGATAATATATTGGACAAATTAAAAAGACAGTATTATTATTATAATCTCAAATACGACAATAACGGACAAGCGTACCAGATAAAGATACGACAAACAAATGAACTCCAAGTTACACTTGTAACAATTAAATTCTTAATGACTGAATATAAGGATCTTACCCTTATCTAGAAAAACCGGTAATACCAATCCGGCCACTTCAAACTTAACCTTAGCCGATTAGTATAGTATAGGCCGATTTTTAAATCTATACTATACGGACCAGGTATTATATATATGAGCGTTAGTTTCTATAATTTTGCAGATCCGTATAGCTGTATAGTATAATTTTAAAAATTGACCTGTACTATACTGATTTGCTCACCTATACCATACTGATTGCTATAATTTCTTCTAATCTTCTTTCTATAATACATTTTTCAGTTCGACTCATCAACCCACAGATCAATTCTTCATATGTAAACAAAGTTTAACAGGTATCTTGATTGGGCAAAAATGAAAGGATAGGGTTTAAGGAATAAAATCTTGAAAATCGTGCTATGAGACAAATCATGTGTCCCATACCATGATTTCCAAGGCAAGACTCCAAGTGTCAAACAACCTTTTTCATGAAAAAAAGTGCAATAGAGAATAAAGATAACGATAGGTTTGTTTCAATTTCTATTGACTATCAGACGTGCAGCATTATGCTACTACCGCAAATAGATTTTATATTATTATTGCTCGATCAGAGATTTGTTGATATACAATGAAAAAAACAGGCTGATTATTACTAGCAGGCTTTAATCTTTACAAGCACGTTTAAATCTGATCCATTAAAGCCCTTCTCATAAAAATGAACTTGAAAACATTTCAAATGTTCACGCCATTTATTTTTTAAACGAAAGTAAAATTCGCGGCCCTGAATATAGTTCAGGAATTTTGAAATAGATTTGTTATATTTAAAGCTTGTAAAAGTAGGTCGCAGCAAAATTTATTCTCTTGAGAATAAAGTATCGAACAAGAGCACTTTCTGTTTAATAAATATTTTTAATTTTTTTTTTTATATTTTTATTTTTTTTATTTTATTGTTTTGATGCGGCTGGCGTGATCTAGTTAACCAATTAAAGACGGGATTTCATGCGTCCAATCACAGCTTGGGGAGAAATTAGGGCTCCTGAAAATTGAATCAAGGATGCAGAAACGACCCTCCTCGGATTCAAATGATAATTTATTCTTAGAGAAGGCTCAGTATTTAGTCCAAACGAAAACAAAGCTTCTGATCAAACTCATGGCAAGTAATCAAAAAGTATATCGGAGGCTTTTCAGCACATTCATCTGATGGAATGTAACTGGGGGCATCAAATGCACCTGTGCATTATTTATATTTTTCTCACACTTTTAGCAGTACAGTATATAAAATTTAAACAGATAAAAAAATTTATTACTTGTGTTAACAAACAAAATTGATAAAGAATTATGTAATTAAAATTTTAAATAATTCATTTCAAAAATCGTTTTTATTCTCATTCATCGAACTATTAAATAAATTTTCTATCAATAATCTTCTTTACATTTATAATAACAAATATCTCAAGCAAAAGTATCTTTCATATAATAAAATATTTGATTACAAATTGTGTAGATTTATAAGACAAACGCGCAATATATTTCTTGAACTTTATTATTTTAAAAACAAATCATTTAAAAAATTTAAACATTGTGTTTCAAAAAAAATATAAAACAATTGTATTACCATAGAAATTTGTATTTATAAACCGCTTATACGAAAGAGAATTACCAAGCAAAAACTTAATTCTCGATACTATCACTTATCATCTTTAATTAAAATGAACGCATCTCTTAGTTTGACTGAATATGAAAATTTTGAAATTTTTCAAAAATAAAGTTATAAGTATATTCGAAGTTATGAGAAAATAATGTACACCTACTATATCTGGCATAAAAAGCAATTGTAAGGAGTATTAATGTTTTATTTATTGTAATCGAGAATATAAAGTAAGCTAAAGAAATATTTACATAAATAGCGATATTGAATCTTTTAACTATTTGTTTATAATTAATTACTCAATATAAGCAAGCTAATTCCGACAACCAAATAATTATTTTTACAGATAACTCTTGTTCCAATAATAAAAACTGACGAAACGTAATTAGAAAGTCATGTGCCAATTATTTGTGACACTGAAACCAACATGGTGTCGATCCTATGTAATACAGTACGTATAAAAAAAATTACAATTTTTCAATTTATGATTTGACAACTTTATCAATGAATACGTAAGTAGTTAATGTTAATTTTTACTGGTTTATTTTACACTGTAATAAATAAAGTATGGGATACAACACAAAAATAATTATATTTATTTTTTTATTAGTGAAAATTTTGACTCTTTTTCAACAGATTACCAGATAATAAATGAAAATTTAGCAGAGGATGAATTTAAATTTGGTTTATGTACAAGTTGTAATAATCCAAATGACGATGTTGATTGGTGCAAAAACTGTAATGCAGAGAGATTTCGTCAGGAATTTCAAAATTGGACTAGCGGCAATATATATGTAGATGAATTTATTCAAAGTTCTCAAATTAATGCTAGGCGTAATGAAGAAGTGCTTGAATGGATACCATATAATCGATTAACAGAAATTGAATATCTTGCAGAAGGCGGATTTAGTGTTGTATTTAAAGCTATTTGGTTAGATGCTAATATTGAGAAATGGAACCATGAGAAGGAATGCTGGGATCGAGCAATAATTGAAGTAACAGATGATGATGAAAAAGTATATCTTCCCTTAAATGTTGCAATTAAGAATTTAAATGATTCATTAGATATTAGTGAAGACTTTTTAAAAGAGGTAAAATTTATGAATTTTAAAATAAAAATTTAAATTTTTTATATTTAAACTTTTAAATTTATATTTATAATAATTCTTTTTGTGAATATGTAAATGTAGTGGAAAATGCATCTTGATTTTCAACTATCTTATCTAAAATTTGGCGGTTCAACTGTGCGGCTATATGGAATTACTCAAAATCCAAATACATTAGACTATATGATAGTTATGGAATATATAGAAGATGGAAGTTTGGGAAATCAATTACAAGAAATTGCAAATTCTAAATGGGAAAAAAGACTAGAATGTCTGATTACTATTATTCGTGGACTTGTGGCAATTCATAATTTAAATTTGGTTCATAAGGATTTACATAGTGGGAATATTCTAGTTCTTTTGGAAGATGAAATATACAATTGTTATATTGCAGATTTGGGCCTAGCTCAGCCAGCATTTCAATCTAATTTTATAAAAGATGATATTTATGGAGTTTTACCATATATAGCACCCGAAGTTCTTAAAAACAAACCATATTCTCAGGCAGCCGACATATACAGTTTTGGCGTAATCATGTCTGAAATTAATACAGGAAAGCTTGCATTCCATGACCAAAAAATTGGTTTAAGTCTTGCATATGCTATTTGTAATGGTCTTCGACCAAAATTTGCAAAAGGTACACCACAAATTTATGTTAATTTAGCAAACCAATGTATGAACGCAGATGCTTCTAAACGTCCAACAGCAGATGAGATAGAAAAAGTTTTAGAGGTTTGGAACAATGATGATAAAATAAAAAATATGTTTGATGAACTTGATGAAATACGAATGCAAAAATCTAAGGATCCTGTTAAAATTCACAAAAGCGCTATTTATACAAGCAAACGTCTCAAGTATTCAGACCTTCCTAACCCTGTAAATTCCGTTGAAATTCCACCATTTTGTATTGAAGAAAACAAAATTTTTGGTAAATGATAAATACATGTTATTTTTGCAAATGTATTTCTAATTAATTGGTTCGCAAACTATATTTCTAATTTTATTTAATTTAATTTTTTTATATAGAATCACAACAGATAGATTGTGAAATATCTGATTTAGACTTTCAATGATTATTATTATGCGGATTTAACACCCTAGAAAAATGATGGTGGATTTTTTTTCTTTTTATTGCATAACGGCGTATTTTACACTACTGTAACGATTAATTTTTCATGTCTCCTCACTTCCATATTGTATAATTCTTTAAGTTGTCACTTCCATAATTGTACTATCATAGTCATGTTAATCTTACCTTAGTAATATTAGGCATTATTATGTATTCTTGGTAGCTTAATTCATGCAAGAGCGTTTACGCTCAAAATAGCGCGTATACGCGATTGCATAAACTTGTAATCATTGCGCCTTGGTCAAATGTGAAATCTGCAGCCTAAGCGTTGAGATCACTGTGTTGATAATCTAAAATTAGAATGTATATAAGAATGTGTCTTCATCCTTAGTTGAAGGTAACATTCGCTCTCCTAAATTCTTCTATAAATAAAGGTCACATGCTGTATATTCGCATTCTTTTTACAATAAATGCCTAATAAACCATGAATATCCGAATGCCATAATTTATTGTCCAATTCATGTGACCCCTTTAACGTCAACCATCGGAGTTAAACTCGGCATGACAGTACCAAGCTCTTCCTTACGATGGTTACACTACCTAAAATTTATAATATAGCAAATTATACACAAGCTAAAACAGAAAAGAGATGGGTTTATGCGATAGTTATGTTGGTTCTATTAAATTTGGGATTCATTTTAATAGATGTATCATTTGGTTGATATGTAAAAATTACGATAATCAAATAGTAGTTCTTAAATTGAGTTCAATTTCAAATAATTTACATGATTTATAATGCTGCTTTTCAGATAAATCTTTTAATTTATTAAGCATTAAAGTAAGGGAACTACTATTCGCACCATGGATTTTTACTATTCGCACCATGGTTTATGTAAATCCTTTCAATTTATCACATAATTATTTACAAACTTTTTAAACTTTGATCGAAGTTTTCTCTGCAACTAATCGATCAAATTCAATCAAAATTTTTTTATTCAAACTCTATGAATTTGTAGAATTCAAATAAAAAACTTTTTATCGAATTTGATTGATTAGTTTCCGAGATATCTTCGATCAAAGTTTGAGTAAAATTTTAAAACGTATGTCACATAAAAACT